ATGTTCCTACAGCTGTGTTTCATTATCCAAAATAGTTAGCTATTTTTTAAAATTATTTCTCCCAAGTTAGCCATTCTTAAATATTCCCAGAAAGTGAAAATTCACATTGACCTCTTATTTAAACCCTTAGTGGTAAAAAGTTTTATCTGACCTAAATTTTTCTTGCCGCTGTTTGAATCCTGTTATCTTATTCTCTCCTTATAATTTATCTTCATATACTTTTAGAGAGACTCCTGTCTCTGTCATCCAGGATGCGTGCTGATATCTAGATAAGGCCTTGCAGAACTGTTCTGGACCATAAATTTAGGTCAAACCAATAAGCCACTGTCAGCTTTCCAGAAGCAAGATCCAAGAACTGATGGGACAGAGCAGTGAGAGATCATGTTCTCTGCCTGCCATACAAAGCAGTGATTGAGTGGATTGACTGAAATTCACAAGTCTTATGTACTGGATTTGCTAATATATGTTACCAAAGCTTATATTGTGCTATAAAATTATCCATTCCTTTCATTTTTCAGTGTAGACTGCTTCATATTGTATTAGTTTCAATATTTTTTCCCATTTATAAATACAAGCCTTTTATTTCTAACGGTACAAGTATACTATTTCTTTGCCTCGATCCTAGTTTTTGAATAAATCTTTCTTTTTTTCTTTGAATTTCCAGCTTTTCGTGATCTGCATATAGCTCATTTGCTCTAATCCTCTAAATTATGTCCATTTTTCCTCTTTCACCTTCTTCCTTTCTAAAGTGAGCTTAGAAAAAGCCCATTTCAGTCTTATTTTTTAACTCTTTTCTGTTTCTTAATTTGAATTACTTTAATTTACTTTTTCTGCCTGCAAATTTGATATACCAAATATTTCTGAAAAATATTGTGTCTTAGATTTTGACAGCTCCTGAATAATTACCCTAATTATTAAGTATGACACATATGAGAGAAAATTTTTATCAACAGTGCCAGTTAGGTTTATTTTTTTAAGGACCTATTTAGCATAGAATACATATTTCTTGAAACATCTTCCCATTGACAATAAATGTTTTCAATAAAAATGACCAATAATTTTAAACATTAAATAAGGATAAATTTAATGAATATGCAGTTTTGCTTTACCAGGCTACAGATTAACTTGAGCTGGAGTTCATTCAGTGACTAATGGGTGAGTTCTTGGACCTGAATGATGGAAATATCCTACTCTTAGAATAAATAGATATTGTACTTAAATCTTTTCATACAGGAAAAAGCTGGCAATAAATAGCAAGTGCTTAGTAAACTACCATAGTAAATTGAACCATTTTTATATGTGTTTGTCGACATCTTTATGGGTCCCTATTAATATATTTATTAGCATTTTATTAGCACTGTTTCTAGGTCTCTCTACTAAAATGATAATAGTAGACAATGCTAAATCACTTAATCTAGATGTTTGATACAGCATCCTGATAAGTGGGGTAGAGCTCTGTAAAGTAGGGTTTGAATTTCAAATATAATTCTGTTGGGAGTTCCATGTTTTCTATTACCATTTATAGAATATTCTAGAGTTTTGACCCTTTTACCACGTAAGTTTCAGTATGAAACTTTATTGTTTATTACTCCAGCATTAGGCTATCTTTCCACACCTTTTCTTCTTTTAGAGATTGACACAGAACACAATATCAGTTAAGTGTTCCAACATAAGAGCGGATGGCTTTGTGGAATGCCATACTTTTCCAGAGTCTATGAAAATCTTGTAACTAGTAAAGCTAGAAAAGTAAGATCATAGCAGTTAAGAGTATGGAAAAGTAACCTTGAACAAATTGTTTAGCCTTCACCATGGCTCAGTTTCCTCATCTGTAAAAGAAAGATAATCATAATGCCTACTTTATGGGTTTGTGGTAAGGATGAAAAAAGGTGATCTGACATTCCTTGAATGGCAATTAGCATAGCATCTCTCACATAAGTTCTGAATAAGTGTGAGTTTTTATCAGATGCCCTGTCTTCACCTATGGAAAGAAATACTAATTTTTAGAAGTAACTCTGCATTTCTAGCTTCAACCTTATATAAAAAAATTGCTTTCCTTGAAGTTGCTAAACGTTAGCCTTGCAAAATTCCAGAAATTCTGGTTATCCTTCAAAAAAGTTTAATTTTGCCACTTAAAGTTTATTTTCACGATAACCCAATATTTTATTTACTTGCCTTCAAAGAATGTGTTGATTCCTTTAAACTTCTTTTGATGAACAAAAAGTGAAAAGGTATGAAAATTATCAAAAAAAAAACCTCATGGAAGCAGACCGCAGAATGTTGCATGAAATGTTATGCATTTATTAGAGGTCATTTTATTACCTATTCTCACTGTTATTATGAATCTTTGCTGATGCTTAGCTAACAGATCACTAATTCTAGGATTGTTCATTTGTATTTCAGTGATTAAATGCGTCCTAATTAGTACAGTGTTGTGGGGTACATAAGATGGTGTAGTGCTGAACCACTTTGCTCTACCCTTTTCTCATATTGCTCCAATTCTCTACTTTCCTTTAAAATTGGATTCAGCAGCAGTCATTTGACATATGCAAAAGATTGTGATGCTTTTGACAAATGTTAATTGAGAAAGCACTGAAAGCCTGGCTGCATTGTAATCAAAAGAAAATTACGGAGGTTTAACAAGATGTCAGGCAAGCGCTTTACAGAAAAAGATAGACGGGTTTGAATGGTTCCTACAGCAGCTGGCTGGGCATGACGTTTGACTAACATACACCGGCATCTCTCATCTGGCCAATGAATTATGCCCTGGAAACAAAACATATGCTTAAGAAGTTTCCCTGGTTATAGAAGGAAAAAAGAAGTAGAAAGTGTGTAGTGCACTTATTGATAACAAGATCTTTGTCACTACGAAAGAACTAATAACTAGTTTTTCTGGTAAACAGCATACTCTGTCAGTAGTTTCAGAATTGTATAAACAACTGTTTATGGACTAGAGCTTAAAACATTAAACATAATGATAATAGGAACTTGTTTTCTAATAAGTTTCAACGTTCTGTTTTGTTTCTTATGTATAGAGAAAGCATAAAATAAGTTACTATTTTTATAAGATTATTTGAAAAAAAGTTATTTTTAATTTGCTATGCTCTTGACATCATATTTATAAGGTTTTAAGAGCCAGTATCTATAAATGTTGATAAAACTTCAGTGTGACCACCTAATAGATTTCAAATGACAGTATTAGAATTTTACTGAAAGAATTTTTTTGTTGTTTAATCAAATGATTATTAATGAAGGAAACTTTAAGCTCCATTTTTCAACCTAGTGGATTTCACAGTTTGAAAGTAATGTTGGAAGTCAAAAATAATCTTTTAAAAAACTTCTTTTTAAATTTCTACCTTTAAATGGGTAAATAGTTGCTTTTATACTCTCTGCTAAGAGTCAGTAAATTAATACAGGATTGGTTTTGAATTAGGCATGATTTTATCTTACCTATTTTCTTGATAAGAGATTGCATTATAACCTCAGACCAGAACTAGTTGCTTTTTCATACCTACATTTTCAAAAGTAAAGATGCTGAAGCCTTACATGTTTTCTTACTAAAACAGCACAAGCGTGCCAAGCTTATCTTCTGTTTGGGTCTAATCAAGCATGCTCAAAAGTCTCTCAAGCAAGAATGTCTGCTGGGTGGAAAGATGTCACAGTATTTATTTTCCTGCAAGATGTAGAGTGGGTGACTTTAAATTTTCTATTGTCCTAATTACATGTAATTGTCAGACTTTTGTTGACACTTTGAATTTGATTGTTTATAGAGTATGAATTTATACAAGAAAGTAATTTTTCTAAGTTATTTAGTAGTGAAATATGCATTTGGTATGTACATTGAAACTTTATATAAAACTGTCCTTCATTTCCTATTAGGTATATGATGAAATTATGCTTAGATTATATTACAAATATTTCACTGAGGAGTAAACCTAACACAATTAGAATCATACAGCAAAATCTATAGTACAGCCTACACTGCCATCAATTAGCCAACAATATGAATAAATTGGAATAAACGAAGAGATCAGATCCCAGCTACTGATGTTCTCAGTAATGCTCATTTTGTTGGTTTGAGTATAATTGGATGAGTGGGGTTTTGTGTGTACATACATGCACACGTTCAAGTGTGTGCCTGTATGTGAGCGTGAGTGTGTGTTTGAGATTAACATGCTCATCTTTTTTCCATAGTGCCTACCACAGCTGTGACAATAACTTCTTCAGCTGAGCTGTTCAAAACCACAGTACCAACCACAAGCACTACTTCACAGAAAGGCCCCATGAGCACAACTGTAGCTGGATCACAGGAAGGAAGCAAAGGGACAAAACCACCTCCAGCAGTTTCTACAACCAAAATTCCTCCTATAACAAATATTTTTCCCCTGCCAGAGAGATTCTGCGAAGCATTAGACGCGAGGGGGATAAGGTGGCCTCAGACACAAAGGGGAATGATGGTTGAACGACCATGTCCCAAGGGAACAAGAGGTATTTCTTGTAAAATACTATACATACATCTTAAATTTTAGTTTAGATAGATTCTGAATTACACTGAAATGATTTTATTTGAGGAAGGAGAGATTTAGCTTACTTTGTTATTTTATTTTATTTTATTTTTTTTGCTTTGGGAATATAGCATCTGTAGATACCTAAAGGTTTTTAAACTGTGAAAATCATTTAAGATCAGGCCCTGAATTACTTCTCCCTCTTAAAGACCTAGGTCAAGCCTGAGATTTTTGCCCATAGACTCTGGTAAGGCTTTCTTACTGCTGCCTTTCTCGTTATAAGTATCATTTTGGATGAATCCCAAGAAAATTAAGAGTTTTTTGTTTGTGTGCTATAAATGTTTGACATTTCTATGCTGACTTTATATTTACAGTTTGTAATCTGCATTTTACCCTACTTTTTGTCAGTTATTGTCAACTAGTACCATTAGCGTTTATTCAAAATTTAACACGCAAGGTAGGATCATCATAGCTGATTTCCTGAATGCATGCAGAAAAATGGTTTCAATTTCACTGTTGTTTTCTACATCTGTTGTAGGAACTGCCTCGTATCTCTGCATGGTTTCCACTGGAACATGGAACCCTAAGGGCCCCGATCTTAGCAACTGTACCTCACACTGGGTGAATCAGCTGGCTCAGAAGGTTGGTTGGAACCTTTTAATATGATACATATTGGTGATGAAGGGCTTTAACTTCTAACACAAATAATTGAGCTTTGTATGTTAAAATCAGCTTCACTGTTCTTTGTTCAGTACAAAAGTAAAAAATTATGCATAGTTTTGTCTGTAAACTATTTATTCAAAGTTACATATGTTTTGGGGCATGCTGTTTTCTATGTTAAGCTTTTTAATGAGTAATGAGTACATACTTGCTTAATTTCATTTATATTTAGTTCTGTTTCTTTTGATGTTTGTAAGACTAATAGTGCATTGGCCTAATAAATCAAATATCATTATGTTTGCAATTGAATCTACAGAATGCAAGCAGATGTTAATATCACAGATGATTATAGTAGAATAAGTAAAAATGGCTTTAAAAGAAATTAATAACTTTAATATTACAGTGTAATGCAGTGACATTTTAGTTTCTCCTTTCCCATCTACCTTTCTGAAATGCAAGCAGTAGATAATAACCCTCAGGATCATAGTGATTACATTCTGATTTTAATTTCTAGATCACTGGAATAAATAAATGAGATTTTTAAATAGCGGTTTAAAATGGTTACGGTGAAATGAGAGGGCTGTCTGAAAACTTAAAAAGGATTTCTGGTTTTCTTTTTTTTCCTTTTGTTTCTTTTAAATGTCTGGTTGAAAATTTCTTTTGTGTGTTGAGGATCTAAGAACCTTTAATCGTCTGAAATGAAGAGAAAGTTATCGGTCTCAGTTACAGATTTTGACATATTTGCAAACATATTTTTCACCACAACAAAAATATTTAGGAGAATAACAAGAAGCCACAAACAGAACAAGAAATCTTACTGAGATAATATAAATTGGCATTTCAGATCAGAAGTGGAGAAAATGCTGCTAGTCTTGCCAATGAACTAGCTAAACATACCAAAGGGCCAGTGTTTGCTGGGGATGTGAGTTCTTCAGTGAGATTGATGGAGCAGTTGGTGGATATTCTTGATGCACAGCTGCAGGAACTGAAACCCAGTGAAAAGGATTCAGCTGGACGGAGTTATAACAAGGTAGGTAGAGATTTTCCGTTATTTTCAATTAGATATTTTGTATGGCAGCTCTGGATTCTTCTAGCAATTGACTGCCACACCTCTGGCCCCTTTGACATACAACTCAGAAACAAAACTTCTAATCGGTTCGTTTCCCAAGAAAGAATTACAATTGAGAAAGGAGCAATGTGACCTAAAAAAAAAAAAAGTTAATTACCTGAGGGAGATCTTAGTTGGTGGCAAATTCTTCTGCCTGTTTGTGGTCAGTACTGTCACTTTAGAATGCATTTGGAGAGATTATGTGTCCTACAACTCATATAGTTTGTATACTAATACACTGAACTCTTAGGGTTGTAGCAAAATTATGATTCATGTAGGAATGTTAGACATTGAAATACTGTTTTCAGTGCAGGTTTTGAGAGAAGGACGAGTTTCCCTCGCTAGGAGTATAGTTTCCTACTGTGACAAAAATTTGATAGTTATTTTAACTGTAATGTAAAATAAATGTTTTATGAGATTCATATGAGTTCAAAATCTGTGGCCAGTATGGTTTTATAGGGTGAAAAAAACAATCATTTTTTTCCTTTTGACCATGTATTTTGTCTCTAGTTTTATCAAGATGCTTTGAATTCATATACTTAGAAAAACACAACTAAAAACTATAAATACATAATTTGAGCAGTCAGTGTAGACTCACAAAAATCCAGAAGACTACAGTACCTAATAAACTCTGAGCTCAGGAACACCGCTTAATTTTTGAGGATTTCTTCTTCCCTCATTTTCAACAGGTAAAATCTAACCTCTGATTTTCTTTTCTTTTACTAAAAAGCTCCAAAAACGAGAGAAGACATGCAGGGCTTACCTTAAGGTATCTCTCCTGTGCTGTCACCTGCTTTCTCCCTTCTTCAGCTACCTGCCACGCTCTATCATCTTGCTGCATGATCCAATGTATTTCAGTCTTTGATAATTATATAATGTGCCCCATATCAGCTGTACAAATGTTGGCTTTTCACAGGTATATTACTCTCAGAATAAGCAAATAATTTATTTTTATAATTTTTGCTGTTTTCCCATTCACCCAAACGTACAAGAATTTTAATGAAATATCCCCCGAATTGGAAAGTAATCATACAGTCTCTTTGTTTCCTGTTGTCATCTCTGCAGATTTAAAAAAAAAAAAAAAAAAAAAAAGAAAACCTTGAGTAAAACAGCTATGATATATTCTTGGCAGTTTATCATATCAAAGACTGTGTAGTCATAATGTATGTGCATGAAAAAGTCACTGCTTTCTTATCTCTGTGGTAAACTGTAAAATAAAATAGGCTTTGTCCTGAAATATTTAGGGGTCATTTCTAGAATCAGGTTGATATTGGGATGGGTTGCTAGAAATGAAATGTAAATAATGTGACAATGCCATCGATGTGTGTTATATGTTGGTTTTTATCAGGCTAAAAAGAACAGAAAGCCTCTGTTTGGCTTTGAATCCTTGTTTACGTCGGCTGGTTTTCCTCCACGGTATACCATGCTAGTTCTGTGCGACAAATCAAAATAATAATACCACATTGCCATTTGTTCTATTCTGAATTTTAAAAGTTTCACTTGGGAGGATAGTTACTTTCTAATCTTACTCATCTGGGGACCATATCCCAAACCTTGAAGAACTAAACCATATACATGTGACAGGAAAAAAAAAAAAAAAAAAAGAACTTCATAGTTTTTAGAACAGAGGTTATTCAAAAGCTCTGACTTCACCAATACTGGTTGGCAAGGTCTAGAAAAAAAGAATGGCATTTCACTAGTTAGTAATAGGCATTGTGGGATCTGAGAACTTTACAAGAAACAGTGGTCAGAAAATATGTTTTTAGATAGTAAAATTCTGGAAGTCTCATTTTAGCCTTTATAATGGGGGGCAAAGAAATAACTGCTAAAGAGTGTAGAATTTGTCATACTGAAATTTTCAATTCAGTTTTAAGGTATTAGTTAACGTGTGAACTGTAATCATTGGGGTGTCACCCAGGACACATATCTCAGTGGGTAAAGAATAGCTTGTTTCCTTTGGCAGGGAGAAACTACTTCAGGAATATGATTAGGCTAATGATCATTTTGATTCCACTAGAAAAGTACTAATGATAATAAATAAGGAGTGTTTCAAATTAATAAAAGCATGCCATCTGCAAGTCATGTGTTTACATAGTAAATTTCAGCATGACCTTAATTTCTGGCCAGTGTCATTTTCAGTATGTCACAAATGAGCTTCACTGTTCAGATAAGACTCATAAAACTCCTTAAATTACAAATCAGAAGCTGACTTACACTATGCAAATGAAGTGGGTCCCCGCTTTGTGACAGAGGACTCATTTGTAACTTAGATTAGAGGCTCCAGACTGTATTTTTTGGTGACTAATGAATCTGGCCTCAGCAGACCAATTTCTGTTCCACTCTAGTTAATGGCTGCAGTAGTATCCGTGTGAGCATTTTGACTATTCTATCTCCCATTAGAGAAAGAAAAAAGCCTTTAACGCCACTTGGAAGTATCTTCACCTGCCAGGAAGGTCGTGGTGGCTCACAAAGCAGACAGAACAAGGATATTAAGATGGATTAAGCTAATTAATCTTACTCTGACAGTAGCCTCAAACAGCTTTTCCCTTTGCTTATTTTAATATAGTACCTCAAACTAGCAATTTTTGTTGTTCTTTGTGCAATGAATGTTCTTTTTTCCTCTGCGATTACTAGTAGATCAAAACAATTTATATATGGGCGTAATGACGGATTATGACTAGGTAAATGAGATAGAGTAAATAAACTAAGTGATTTTGGTTATCTAAGCCATAGTCATTGTATAGCTACAATAAGTATCAGTACAGAAGCCTGCCTTCATTGTTTAACTGACTGGGTTATACTTTTATTTAATGTTATTTTGAAACTAAACCTACATATATGAATATTTACAACTTTGATGTTTGTGAAGACTTTATTCTGCCTTTCTGTTCTCATTAAATGATTTGTATAGGCTTTAAATATTTTGATTGTTCTCTTGATTCATTTGAAAACAAATCATTGTTTATGAATTAAGATGTACTCTCAAGTGTTTGCTGGACAGATAATTGGAATAGTGAAACTGTTCGCAGTTAATTTACAGACTTTGAAATCATCTTGGTTTTTTTCCAGTGGTAATAAGCAGACAGTGTTATAAGGCACAATTTAGGTTATTATTTTTATTCAAATTCCAAAAAAACAATGCATTTTAATTTCAAGCATAAATATTCAGCTACTCCAGAGACCTCAGTGTTTTCTAGTTAGAATATTTAGGTCTTGAGATTATAAGTAGGAATGACTGTGCATGTAAGAGTCATACCTCAGGTTAAGATCTGATGCTTGGTTGTATTTTTAACAACTGATATGATTAGATAAACAGAAACAAGCCATCTTTTTACACTTATTCTTTATAATCAAATAGTCTACAATCTTCAGGTAGGCCTATTTTGAAATGGTCAGATATGTTACAGGTTGACCAGATATATGTTGTCCAGGTGTTCTTCATCTTGAATTAAAAGTCAATCATCATGGCAGATAAGTATTACAATTGTCACTAATCGGTGATTGAAAATGACCTTGGTACTAGAAGCAGTAAAAACTAATGATAGTTTTTCTAATGGATGCAGGCAATTGTTGACACAGTGGACAACCTGCTGAGACCTGAAGCTTTGGAATCATGGAAACACATGAATTCTTCTGAACAAGCACATACAGCAACAATGTTACTCGATACATTGGAAGAAGGAGCTTTTGTCCTGGCTGACAATCTGGTTGAACCAACCAGGGTCTCAATGCCTACAGAAAATATTGGTAAGTGAATCAATCTGTTGACAGGTTTAATTTTAATTTAGAAGATCTATGTTTAAGAGAATGTTTCCATTCTGAATCTGTTATTTCCCAGTGCCAACCTTCTCTTTTGTCAAGTTATTTTTGATTGTCGAACAAGACAGATTATTGATCACACTTCATAAAATTAATGCAAAAGCCAAAATCTATCCTATATCTTTGAAAAGCTGGTTTTGTGTGTGTGTGTGTGTGTGTGTGTGTGTGTGTGTGTGCTTCATCTGAAAAATCATTAAAAGAAAAATGTGTAAAGAGTACTTAAATGCCCAAATATGGATTACTTGAATAATGAAAGTGCTTGTTCTGGAACTGTGGTAAATGCTTTTCCATTTGATATAATATGTTCCTAATGAATTTAAATTACTTTCTGGGATATATTCTCCCACTCAAATATTTTAGGCAAACAGAATTTGAGCCAAATGTTTATATTAAACACAATCGCCTTCAGGTGAAAATGTGGTCAGTGAACTCCATCTTCCATAATGCAGAATATCCATGCTTCATGGATTGCACAATAGCTGCAGACAGTTTGAAGCATAATTTAGAATTTAAATGTTGGCAATGAGAGGTAGGAATTAACTTGCAATGATGTTTGAAAGAAGTACAGTAAGTATAATAAAATTATTAATTTAGGCTTGATTGATTTAGAGTTGATTATTTAATGAAGTTGAGCTCAGATGAAGTTTTATAGTATCCCTTAGTAAAGTAAAAAAATTTCCCAAGCATATATTTAAAAACAAAAAACAAAAAACAAACAAAACCCAGGAGGAATGGTAGACTGCTCTTTCACCAAAAGAGAATATGTTGGAGCAGCAAATATTGAATGGAGTCTTGCTAGCTGGAATGCTATATCTTATTGCCTAATTGTGCCTGTCTAAATTATGAAACTTTATATTAAAAAATGTAGGAAAGTAAGGTATATGTGAAGAAATAGACCTTAATCGGATTATACTTGGATTTAAATTCAAAACCTTAAGTTTATTTTAAATAACTAAATTTTTAGAAAGAAATAAAATATTAAAATCCTGTTTTTATTAAGTTTTAGAAGGATAAATAACTCAATGACTTCACATTAAATGAAGTCAAAATAATTTGGCCTGTCATGATCTGGGAGACCAGTCATAAGGAAGTTATGCTCTACCATAGCCTTAGTAGTAATACAGAATGAATAAAGCTTCCCCCTTCTGTCTTAAGCTTTATTATTTTTGAGGTTCATTTTTAGTAGTCTAATGAAATTCCTAAGGTATACATTAAACAAGTCTTCTCAAATGTTTCCAGTAATGTACCTGTAAGGATAAAGGACTATAGACTTTATTGTTTTAGAGGGTGAGTTATAGAAAGTGTTATTTGAAGTGATGTGTTATGACCTCAATTTGTATTCTAAATTTTCTAAAGGCTATTTTAAAATCAGAAAAAAAAAATCTAAAATTTCCCTCTTATGCTCTAAGAGTGCAAGAAAATTTGACAGGCAAGGTTGACAGTCTGTGCTCCCTCGCATCAGCCTCATATAATGTAGAATGCACTATTATATGTTTGGGATATTTTTATTGCAGTTTGAGACATAATCTGAAAATTTAAATGTCCAGGAATATATTTTCCCCAATACCTGTGTTTTTCCAAGTTTTAAAAGATTATTCTTTTTTAAAATTAATTAATATTCAATTATATTTCAATTGATAGTCATTATTCTTTATTAATTTCAGGTATACTGCATAGTGGTTAGACATGCATAATTTACATAGTACCCACCTGGCACCATATATAGTTATTACAATGTTATTGACTATATTTCCTATGTTGGACTTTACATCCCCGTGACTATTTTGTAACTGCCAATTTGACTTCTCGTTCCCTTCACCGTTTTCACCGATTCCCCTTAACCCCCCTCCCATCTGGCTACCATCAAAATATTCTCTGTATCAATGAGTTTGTTTCTGTTTTGTTGGTTTCTTTATTTTTTTGTATTTCTTCCTCCTTTCACCTTTTTCACCCAGCTCTCCACCGCTCTCCCATTTGGCCATGAATTTGTGTGTCATCCTTGCTCAAGGCCATGCTAATCTTCTCTGTATCATTCTAATTTATGTATATGTGCTCCCAAAGTGAGCACTAAAGGATTATTCTTCATACTTCTTTTTTAATTAATAAAAGAACATTGTGGGTGGAGATTTTTATAGAATGTAATACACATATTACTAACTTCTCAAATAATAATGCCCTAAAGTTACTGTATGCATATATTGATTACCCAAAAATTATTACTATGAAAGTTGCTTTGCATATTTTATTATAGTTATGTCTTTTTATTTCTAAGATATAAATAATTTTTGTGACAAGCATTATATATGATTTAGTATAGGAAAACATTCAACTTTTTCCTAAGACTTATTCTCTTTTTAGACAGTAGGACTAAAATATCCTTTTCCGTCTTCACCCTCTTGATGCTCTTATCTAAATTTAGGATGTGGTTATAGTATCTTTGGTTTTTAAGACAATTTGATTTTTCTCCTTAGGGATTTCTCCTTGAATCCTTAATTTAACTTTATTATATGGTTTATTCTTATGCATGACCTCATAAAAATGGTATAATTATATCTGGTATAATTGTATCTGGTTATAGCTTTTAAAAATCAACTTTGAGGTATAATTTATATACAGTAAGAACAGTTGTTTTAAATGTGCAGTTAGATAAGTTTTGACAAATGTACACCCATATAACCAACAGCACAGTCATTTCTGTCACCTGAAAAGAGTTCTTAATGCTCTTTTGCAGTCAGTCTCCTCATTATCTCCAGCTCTAAGCAACCAATGATCTGTTTTCTGTCACAGTAATTTAGTTTTGCTTTTTCTAGACCTTCAGTTGAATGGAATCATACAATATATCCTATTTTTTTTATCTTTTACACAGTAATGTTCTTGAGATTTATCGATATTGGTGCATTAGTAGTTCAGTCCTTTTTATTGCTGAGTAGTGTTTCATCATAAGGACACATCACTACTTGTACATTTACTTACCTGTTAGGCATTTAGATTGTTTCCACTTTCTTACTGTTATTATGAAACCTGCTATTTTCCTAAGTGGTTGTAGCATTTTACACTACTAATAGCAATGAGAGTTCCAGTTGCTCCACATTCTCACCAATATTTAAGGTTGTCTTAAGTGTCTTTTTAATTTTAGCCTCATGGTTTGTAGTGGCATCTCATTTTGGTTTTATTTTGCACTTATGTGATTGCTAAGTTATGTTTTGTTGATAACTGTTCAACTTTTCATATGCTTCTTGGCCATTTATCTTTTTGTGAAGTATCTTGTTCATATATTTTGCCCACTTTTAATTAGGTTGTCTTTTTATTAGTAAGTTATAAAGATTCTTTATATATTCTCAATATAAATTTTTTGTTGGGTATATGTATGGTGAATGTTTTCCCTCAGTATGTGACTTTTAAAATTTTTGTAGTATCTTAAGCAGAAGTTTTTAATTTTAACTAAAAAATCTTTATTACCCAGTTTTAACATCTTGCTAATCCTGTTTCACTTCTTATTCTTGCCATTTCATTATTTTAAAGCATATCCTAACATCATGTTATTACCGTAAATGATCCATATTTTATTTATTATTCATTCATCCATTTATCTGTCTATCTATCTATCTATCTATCTATCTATCTATCTATCTATCTATCTATCTATATTTATTTTAGGCGAGGTAACCCTTGGTTGACCGTACAGATTGTAAGGACCTTGTCAGCTTACAATCTCTCTTTTATTTTATTTTTTTTTTACACTTACAACACCTGGTCTTCCTCGGTGGTCTCCCATCCAAGTACTAACCAGACCTGACCAGAGAGGTCAGACAGGATCAGACAGGTTCGGGCTTATTCAGGGTGGCATGGCAGTAGCCATACTTTATAAAAAACACATCGTCACTTTAATAAATTAACAAATTTAATAAATTAACAATTTAATAAATTAACAAAAATATGTTCAAAAGATAACAAAAAAGTGTTTAAGTTGACTTGATTTTTATAAATTGTTAACTTATCTGTTAGGATACGGAAAAGTCCATGCCATACATTTTATTGGTAC